GTTGTGAGAGATGAGCGCGCGCGGGTATGAAGAGCCCGGCTTATGAACCTACGTTTTCGTACGCGCTGTTGCGTTGGAATTCTTGCAGCATACAGTACGTTTCACGCAGGTTTTGTATACGTGGACAAATTCTTGGGACCAGCTTTGTTTGCACATTTGCTTTTGAGTCCCGATTTTGTTCGTTCCCCCGGAGCCTTCGTGGACACATCGTTCCGTTTTGGGGCTGGGCAGTGGCCTCGGCGCTGTAACCCATTGTAAGTTTAGGTTGGCCTCGTTGCGCCTTTTGGGGGCCACAAATTGGTCTGACGAATATCGTCTTGAAACATATCGGGCCGTATCGGACGTTCTCATACATAACCTGAACGACAGCTGAGCAATGGAGGGTGCCACCATCTCGTCGCCGCTATCCAGGTGCCTGCGGCAAACCCCGCCACCGTGCTAGCCCAGCATTCCAGCATTATGGTCATGTTGACGATGATGATGATGACGATGATGATGATGATGATGATGATGATGATGATGATGATGATGCTGGTGATGATGATGATGCTGCTGATGATGATCATGGTGATCATCATCATCACCATGGCTATCGCGATAATATTGATTGATGATCATTATGGTTTCAGTTACGCTGAGGATGATCATGCGTGGCGATGGCGATGACGGGGGGAGGATGATGATGAGGATGATGAGGATGAGGATTGTGGCGGACGCGGGTGGATGAGTAACTTGACAACGGTGATGATTATGATGATTATGATGATGATGATGATGATGATGATGATGATGATGATGATGATGATGATGCTGGTGGTCGTGGTTGTGGTGATGATGGTGGTGATAGTGATCATGAGGTCGTCGAGGACGATCATGGCGGTGATGATGATGAGGACGAGGAGGAGAACGATAACGACGAAGAGGAAAACCGCCAAAGGTGACACCGTCGTTTCATGTCTGCAGGACCGCATGGACCTCAGTTGGTTCGTCTTGGCTCGTGAGTAGCAGTATTGGGGTCCCTTGGGTTTATCCTGGGCCTTCCTGAGGCCGTCTTGGGCCGTCCAGGGGTCCTCTTCGGTCGTCTGGAGTCCCTCCAGACGACCTAAGGAAACCGTCTCGAGGCCGTCTTGGAAGCCTCCCGGGCCGTCTGACCCGCCAATGCGACAAGAATAAAAGCAAAAAAAAAGAAGACACTCATTACTTTCTTCGGAACCTAATTCGGCCGCCTTGCAGGCCTCTTGGCGAATCCTTAGGCCATAGTGGGTCATAGTGGGTCTATCTTGGTCCGTCTTTGAATGCTCTTTTTCGGCCATATCAGAGCCCTTATTGGCTTGCTTTGGCTGTCATGAAAGCCATCTTGGACGCCTTGGAGAGCGTCAGGGAGGCGCGAGGCAACCCAGGGTGCCTCGGGAAGAGGGGGCGATGCGCGCAACGGAGCGGGGGCCTCTTAGAGCTTACAGAAACCGTGCCAGACAGCACTTAGCATCCTAGCGCGCCGTACGCGCCAGGGGGCACGGTGGCGGATAGTGCTCGGAGCAACACGCGCGAGACAGGCGAGCAGTGGCAGCGAGGCCCGCTGCTGTTCAGCACGCTCGGGGGGTCGAGCGTTCGGCCCGCAATCGTCAGCTACTGGGCACATGTGCGAGAAAGGCAGGCAGCGATAGCGGGCCCCGGCGTTGCTCAACGCGACGTGGCTGCTCATGTAGATCATGGCTTTGAGTGCTGCGCAAGACGTCATCAGCTACAGTGAGGGGATGAGCGCGTGGAAGAGAAAGGCGAGTAATAGTATCTCTGGTTTTCTAATATTTTGTTGAACGTCATCCGCTACAATGCTGGCATCAGCGCGAGGGAGAAAGGCAAGCAGTGGCAGGTCTGATTTTCGAATATTGCGTTCAACGCCTTCAGCTACAATGCTGGTATCAGCGCGAGGGAGAAAGGCAAGCAGTTGCAGCGAATTGGATTCACATCCCGTGGGACAAGGCCTTGCACGGTTGCTCCCGACGTCATTAGCTATAGTGCTGGGATCAACGCGTGGTTTAGCGTGTGGGGGAAAGGCAAGCAATGGTTGCACGTGAGAGTGAAAGGCAAGAAGTGGCAGTTTTGATTTTCGAATATTCGTATCAACGTCATCCGCTACAGTGCTGGTATTAGCGGGAGGGAGAAAGGCAAGCAGTGGAGACGAATCCGATTGATACCAACGTCGTCCGCTACAGTGCGGGGATCAGAGCGTCGGAGAAAAGCACAAATCGATCGCGATGAAACCCATTATCATCGTCGTCGTCATCGCCATCGTCCACATCATTGTCACCATCATCATCGTCATCATCATCTTCCTCATCATCATCATCACCACCATCATCATCATCCTCACGATTATCATGATGAATGAGCTGCTCGCTGCAAGGCTCGCCACGGTGCCGGCGCAGCGTTCTCGGCGGCGGTGGTTTGAGGGCCGGGGGGGCCGGTTGAAGTAATTCTTGACGCTTCGCGTATCCCCGCCAGCCCATCCAGAAACGACGCCCTGGCGAGTTGAGGTGATCCGGCATGTGGGGGAGCATGCAGAGGAACAAAGGGCTGGAGGAACCGTCGTACCCCAAGAGGGGGAGGAAGGAGGAGGAACAGGAGGATGAGGAGGAGGAGGAGGAAGGAGGAGGAGGAGGAGGAGGAAGAAGGAGGAGGAGGAGGGGGAAGGAGGAGGAGGAGCAGCAAGAGGAGGAGGAGGAGGAGGAGGAGGAGGAGGAGGAGGAGGAGGAGGAGGAGGAGGAGGAGGAGGAGGAGGAGGAGAGGAGGATGAGCAGCGAAATATGAATAAAAAGGGTGAGGAAGAAGGAAACGACGACGAGGACAAAGAAGACGACGACGACAACGACGACAGGAACCAACCACCAGGGTCTTTGCAGATCGTTCGTTCTGAGAGCGTCTTTGCAGCTCTGAGGCCCTCTTGGTGCCCTCTTGGGCTCCAGGGGCCTCTTGGGTCCCTCTTGGTGCCCTCTTGGAGCCTTTTTGGGCCGTCCTGGGGCTTTCTTGGGGCCCTCTTGGGGCGCTCTTTGGGCTTGGATGCTTTGAGGGCATTCTCGAGACCATCAATCAAAGACAGGGGGGGGGGGAATTAGTTAGCGTCCCCCCGTCGGAGCCCTAAAATGAGCCTCATGGGGTCCTCTTGGGCCGCTCATGGGCCGACGTTGAGGCGTCCTGGGGCGATCTTGTGAGCTCTTGGAGGCATGTTGAAAGCTATATTGAACTATCTTGGGCTATCTTGCACGATCTTGGAGGCCATCTTGGCCACTTTGAGGCCCTCTTGGAGCCATCTTAGGCCATCTTGGCCGCTCCAACGCCTCGTGAAACGCTCCGTGCAGGCCCAGGCGGATAGGGTAGGGGGAGGGGGAACCCCCTCCCCGAAGGGGAAGAAGGGGGTTTAGCAAAACAAGCTCCTTAAAAAACTCACGCCCTAAAGGGCTGGTGGGACTATTTAATCGCTTCGCTCACTCCACTGGCCCATGTTGGAGGCTTCTGGGGCCGTCTTGGGGCCGTGCTTGGGTGGTGGTAGAGGACGGGGGCGAGGAGGAGGAGGAGGAGGAAAATGAGGATGAGGAAGAGGACGTACATGAGGCCCGCTTCGCCGGAGACGTCCTCCGGAGACACCTGCAGGATCCCACCTGTGGTTCTCTCCACATTGTCTAAAGCATCTGACCTTCTGAGCCCTTCTCACCTCACCTCCCGTCATATCATCGAAGACGCCTACGGCGAATCACCGCCGCCCCCTGCCTTTTTGGAAACGTCTATGCGGCCGAAACCTGGCTAGAGCTTGGCCAAGCTATCGGACCATGAGTTCCGACTTCTTAGGGAGCCTGTGGAAGCCGTCTTGGGGGCTGGTGCTGGTGCTGGCGCTGGTGTTGCTGCTGATGGTGCTGGTGCCGCTGATGCTGCTGGTGCCGGTGCTCCTTCGGGGTCCTCTTGGGGCCCTCTGAGTGCCAGGTTGGAAGGTCTTGGGTCTTGGGGTCCTCTTGGTGCTCTTTTGCCGGGTTTTGAGGCCCTCTTGGAGGCCTTTCGGGGGCCTCGGAGCGGCCCTTGGAGCCATCTTGGGAAGCATCGATTAAAGGAGGGTGGGTCCTTTACGACGGCGCCGATGGCGACGACGACGACCGTCGTCCGGCCTGGGTCGCCGGGCATGCCCGCCGGGCGGAGGGCGTGGCCCGTCGAGGGCGTGGTGTCGAGGGCGCCCTCCTGCTCCTCCTCCTCCTCCTCCTCCTCCTCCTCCTCCTCCTCCTCCTCCTCCTCCTCCTCCTCCTCCTCGGTCCTCCTCATCGCCCCCCTCCTCCCCTCGCCCCCTTCTACCCGTATCAAGTTCCCCGGTTCGGCTCGTCCTCAGTCGTCCTTGTCTCATCCCTCCTCTCCTCTACACCCCCCCTCCTCTCCTTTCGCTTCCCTTTTTAGGCACGCTCTCCCGCGATAGGGGGAATCTCATGCACACGCAGCGCAGGGGGCTCGCGCTTCGACGGGCCAGTTGAGCCTCAGCGGCCCGCAAAACAAACCTTCATGTGCTCGGGGGCCTGCGGGGGAGGAGAAGGACAGCAAGCGTTCGTTATCAGAAGAGTTTCGGCCCAAACTCTCGCAGGGCCTACGCGAGAGAAGGGGCCGCCAGGGATCGCGGTCCAAGCGCTGCCATGATTTGGGGACGCAGCGCGCAGCATGAGTCCGCAGGCCAGCCCTTCATGGAAACCGGCCAACGGGACGCCAAAACAAGCGGATGTCTGATACGAGTAGGCGACGCCATGCCAAGAGCAGCCGGGCGATTGTCGGCATAGATTGGGGACGTCGGAAGGGAACGGTTTTTTACAAAATCTCCCCAGCCCCTTCAGTCAATCCAAACCGATAATCAGTTTTCGTCTTGGCATGGCAACGCAGCTGTTGGGCAAAGATTGTGCTGTTATGACCACGTTCCTGTCTAGACGCAGCGGCTCAAAGAACGCGGGGGGCGCGCGCCCGCCTGCGCCTTCGCCATGTCCCGCAGGCAGTCCGGCGATGGCAGGGCTGCGAGGCAGGGGCTTGCGGACGAGCGCGCAGGGCGTCTCAATCGTCTCTTGGTGGGTCGAGGCGATGGCGCCCTGCGGCTCCTCAAGGATACCCGGCTCTTCCACCTCGACGACGACGAGGCTTTGCCGATGAGAGGCGCTGCGCTGCCGCCGCGGCGAGGGTGCCAGGCCGCGCTTCGCGGCCAGGCCGTTTTCGTGCTGGACGTATTCAAGAGGTACGGGGTGGCGTCGGCCGACGTGGCGCCGGTGGAGGAGCTCCCGCCTGATGCAGAGGGGGCCGTGTGGGGATTGGGGGCAGTGTTCACGTGCAGACTGGCGGATTTGCGCGATGCCGCCTACGAGCTCAAGGTGACCGTGGTCAATCAACGCGTGCGTCTTCGGCGAGATACCAGCGCGATATCCTCGCCCACGAAGACGCGGTCGGTGAACATGGCGCGCGTGGCGGCCGCGACTCTGCGGGCGGGCCACGCGCCTCTGGACCTCCGCCGGACGCCTGGGCATCCTGAGCCGGTGCAGGTGCATCCGTCGGGGATCAAGGCGCACCAGGACTGGGCCCGCGAGATGGGGGAGGAGCACCGCGCCGTGATGAACAAAAGACGCCACGCGCACCCTTACTGGGTGCTCGACGTCCCGGGCCCCATGCCGTTCTACGCCCAACCGTGGCGGTGCGACACGTGCCGATTGAAGGGGTCCTTGGCCGATCGGCTCCCCTTGCGGCGCATTGCGTCTGCACCCGAGGAGGCCTTGAGGACTTACTTCCAGGTGTTGGACTCGGACGTCGCCGCCGCATTCCCGAACGTCGCCGTGTTACACAACGCCAAGGAGGGCACGGCGCGCTTCACCGCCAGGTTCTTCTTCGAGGTGGCCCAGCGCCTGTACGAGTGTTTCAACTCCCGCGAGGTGCGCAGGCACATCGTGTCCATGTACTCGTGCAACGCCTTGTCGCAGGCCCTCTCGCTGGACGGCGCCCCGGTCGCCCCTGCCTCCCTCCCGTGGCAGGTGTGCGCAGTGCCCGACGACGCCATGATGAGGAGCATCTTGATGACGGGTTTCCGGGGGTTTCTCCAGAGTAGAGTCGACGTCATGAAGCGGAGGCAGTTGTGCTACAACGCGCGGGGCATCAGACTGGACGGTAATTTCAAGCTCGGCAAGATCATCAGGGTCCCTGATGGCGGGACCGCGTACTCCGTGGCCATGGGCTTCTGCGGCCTCGACGGCTCCCTCCTCGTCCCACCCGTGCCGCTGACCCACGAGTCCTGGGATCAAATTGAGACTATCCTCCAGCCCCTTCTTGAAGACGTCAGGGGCACAATGATGGCTTGTGGCTATTCTGCGGACGAGTCCCAGCCGGTCTTCTGCTCCACGGACGTCTACGAGAAACACCGGCTTCGGCTACGAGGCGCGTTTGCGAAGGTCTGGTCCGGCCTCCGGCTCGTTTCCGATGGCGTCACCCCGAAGGCGCCGGCCTCCAGGAAACGCGTTCTCGCCTCGGAGCACGTCCCCGGGTGCGCGCTGATTACCGGCGACCCGCAGCATTGCATCATCAAGATGAGGCGCTTCGTCAGCCCCCACAGCGCGGACGGCCGCGACTTCCAGTTCGACTACATCGACGCGATCAATAGGCTGAGTAAGCCGAGGGCGCTAGCCGACGCCGCGGCGGTTCGCGGCTGCTGGAGGCCTCTGTCCCCCGCGGGTCGCGACTTGCTGCGCGCCGCCGTGTCGCTCCCGAAGGAGAAGTACGACGCCGTCGCTGGCCGCGCCCCGGCGGCCGCAAGAGAGAATTTCAGGCAGTTCATGGGGAAGCCGCGAGTTCTCCAGGACCCAGTGTGGGTTGAGTACTTCGGGGCGCGGCCGCCTCGGGGGACGCTGGCGCGCGGCGCGGCGAGGCCGCGCGCGCTTTGCACAGCGCCCTTGCACCCGCACGGGTGGTGGAGTCCAAAAAGAGCCTTCCGGGCTGAGATTCACTGCCTCCGCGAGGTGGACAAGGCCGGGCCGCAAGTCTGGGCCCGGCGCCGGGGCATTCGCGAGGACCACCGGGCCCGGCCGTGGGCGGCCCTCGCGGGACTCCGTGCTGAAGGCGAAGTTGAAGCAGCACCTCCGCGTCCTCGTGTCTCATCTCAAGGTAGAGGCGTTGTTCAAGTGGCGCGAGGTTGCCGACTTGCTCCACGAGGCCGGCGTCGACATGCAGTCTGGAACGGTGCCAGTAGAGCGGTTATGGGCGAATTTCGTGTGCTATTTCCCCGACGCTGCCAGAGGCATGAGCCGGGACTGGTGGGATCTCCTGAACAATTTGGGGTACATGCGCTACAACTTTCGGCACTTCAACCACCCGCACCTGGACGCCTGGACGCGCGGAGACGCGCTGATAGCAGAGCGCATAGACAACATGATCACATTGGCGAGGGCCCTCCAGAGCCACGGCCAGGGCACCTCTCCTCAGCTGGCCGCGCTGTTCAAGGACATCATGGGCGATGTGCGCGACGTGCAGGAGGCCGCGTGAGGAAGCGCCCGCCGCGCGCCGCTGCAGACTGCCTCCCTGGTGCCGCGCCCAGCTTCGGGTCGCGAACTGATGCCAGGACTGCCGCCCAGGTGCCGCGCCCATCTTCGGGCCGCGAAAAATGCGAGGTTGCCTCCCCCGCCCCCCGCACAATACCAATATGTTGTCAAGTATTGCCCCCGCCCCCCCCCGCAGCGCTGATCGCACTCGGCCGCCTGTGGCCATTCGGCTTCGCATGGCCTGCCTCGTCGCCACCTGACCATTGTTGCTTGATGTTCTCTGGCATCGGCATGTTATGTTCGGCTTCCCATGGCAATCGGACCTCCGCCCACATGGCCGGGACGTCCGGAGTTGGCCCTGGCGTCATGCAGCCCCCCCCCCCCCCTCTTTCGATTCGTTAATGGAGGGCGGAGGGGGGGCACATTGTGAAAACATTTTTTCTGCAGAATTCTCCCCCCCGCGGGCCAGCTATGGCAGGATATGCTAACATGCTTGGGGGCGCGTCCCCATGCATTGATTGGATATGGCCGCCCTCGGTTATTCGACTTCTCATGGCCTGTCCCGTTAGCCGCGCTTCCTGAGATTTGCCCCTGCCCCCGGGGCCCTGGGGGCACCCTGGCCCAGCGGCCCAGTTCTTTGCGGCCCCCCGACCTAATGGCTTCGTCTTCGAGGGCCGGCCGTGACCGCTCGGCCTCCCACGTTGGCCTTGCTGCCCCCGATTGGCTTCGGCGCATGCCCGCGGCCCCCCGCCCTCGCCCACCGTTTCTACCCCCCCTCGCAGGCGAGGCAGCGCGCCCGCCGGTGCAGCACGCCCGCTGGGAGAAATACCGGCGTGGGCAGCTGCCCGGGCACGCCGACGCGAAGCAGCCTGCGGCCGCCGCTGCAGCAGCTCTGGTTGCCGACGCCCGCGCGGCTGGCAAGCGCGGCGCAGCTGACTCCTCGGCGGCGTCGCCTCTCTTCAAGCAGCAGCGCGTCGACGACGGCGCCTCGGGGGCCGCGCAGGCGGCAGCCGCGGCGCCGATCGTCGAGCGCGAGCAGGGCGCCAAGAGGGAGCTCGTCGGCACAAAGGCGGAGGAGCCTGCTGGGGTCGCCAAGAGGGAGCCGATCGTCAAGATCGAGAAGAACGCCAGCACCAAGGAGGAGGAGCCCGCTGGG